CTGGAGGTAAGACAGGTGTACTACTACAGGTGTTAGACGAGCGATGGCTCAGCGGGAAGAGTGCACCGCTGTTTCAGAGGACTCCTAGAGTTCGACTCCTAGCGCCACATCCAGCTCCAGGAGATCTGACGCCTCACACATACACACATAATTCCAAGTTGGTCGTGTACACCTAGTACCATAGCACTTGGAGAGCCAAAGGCGAAGGGGTCAGGAGAGCAAGGCCAGTCTCAGCGATGTAAGATGCTAACGTTATTGTGCCATGCGTGGTGATTCATGGCAGTGCAGACAAGGCAGGTGAATATCTAGATTCAAAGCCCGCCTGGTCTTCATAGTAAGTTCCAAGATAGCCAGGGTTACACAGAAAAACTGATTTTTTGTTTGTTTGTTTTGATACAGGGTTTCTCTGTGTCGCGTTTGGGGCCTGTCCTGAAACTCACTCTGTAGGCTAGGCTGGCTTTGAACTCACAGATATTCACCTGCCTCTGCCTCTAAAGTGCTGTAATTAAAGGCGTATGCAAACATTGTCTAGCAAGAAACCAGTCTTGAAGAAACAAAATAAATAAATAAAGATAAAAATTTTTAAGAAATCATGAACCACCAAAAATACTACTATCCTTGAACAAGTTTAAAAGCTGTTGAGGGCCAGTGAGGTAGCCCGTTGGCTACAACAGCCCCTGCTGTGCAGGCCTAACTGTGTTCAACACCAAAGTCCCAGAATGGAAGGGAAGACTTGACTCCCCAAAGCTGACCTGTGACATCCACATACGCAGCTTCGCAGATCTGTGCCCACACTAAAAAAGATGCCCACTATAGTAATCATATCTTTGACAGGGTATAGTGGTGCACTCAGGAGACTGAGGCCAGCCTGGTCTCCAGAGCAAGTTCCAGGACAGCCAAGGATACATAGAGAAACACTCAAAACAAAACAAACAACAATAATAATTCTCTGGTTAGAAGATCAGTTATCAAAAAATCTGTTTTTATACATTAGTGACGCAAAGAAAATGAAATTTAAGGGGCTGGAGAGATGGCTCAGCAGTTAAGAGCATTGCCTGCTCTTCCAAAGGTCCTGAGTTCAATTCCCGGCAACCACACGGTGGCTCACAACCATCTGTAATGAGGTCTGGTGCCGTCTTCTGGTCTGCAGTTAGAATTTTGTATACATAATAAGTAAATAAATATTTTTAAAAAATGAAATTTAAGAAAAAAGTTTCAAGTCAGGAAGTGTGAAACACTTAGGAGGTTGGAGACAAGATGAGGAAATGAAGACAATCCTTAGTGGCGTAGTGAGTTTGAAGCCAGCCTGTGCTACATGAGACCTGCTGTCTCAAGCAAAAAAAAAAACAGAGTTTGAGAGATTGCTCAGTCACACAGTACTGACTCTTGAGTTCAGTTCCCCAGAACCCACATTAAAAAGCTAGCACATAAAAAAGTGTGCTCGGCTGTGGTGGCGCATGCCTTTAATCCCAGCACTTGGGAGGCAGAGGCAGGCGGATCTCTGTGAGTTCGAGGCCAGCCTGGTCTACAAGAGCTAGTTCCAGAACAGGCACCAAAGCTACAGAGAAACCCTGTCCCAACCCCCCGCCCCCAAAAAAAGAGCTAGCTGTGGTGGCACACGCTTGTAAAAGAAGAGACACACAGATCCCTGGTCTCGTGGCCAGCTTAGTCTCTTGGGTGAGCTCTTGGCCAGTGGGAAATTGTGCCAAGAAAGGAGGTTGAAGAAGAGCACGTAAGGTCCTGTGGCCACATCTGTGCACAGGCACACACAGAGGCAAACCTCATGAATATTTAGCTTAATAATTTCACAATGAATCAGTATTTACAAATAAACGCAGTGAAAGGTGTGCCAGTTCTGTACACTGAAAACTACCAGACTTTACTAAGAGAAAACAAAGACAAAACGGAGGATCAGTTCAGATTCAAGTTTGGAATACACATCGGCAAGATGGAGTTCCATGCAGTTCCCAAAGCAGGCTTTTGTTGTTGTTGTTACAGTTCTGATACACACATGCATATTTGCTGAATTTAGGTTTATTAATTTTTTGTGTGACTGTTAGTGCAACCTCGTGATTGCTGTAGCACAGGAGTGAGGTCAGAGGACAACTTTTGGGAGGGTCTTTCACTGTCGGACCTTGGGACTCAACCCGAATTGTTCAGATTGCATGGCAAGCGCTTTTACCCACTGAGCCATCTTGGTACCCAGATTGCTTTATTTTTAATGTGTATTCATTATTTTTTTCCTTTGTTTACAGCACCTGTACTAGCCTTAGCAAGTTCTGCTCCAAACTCAGGCACCTCGACTTGGCTTCCTGTACATCAATAACAAACATGTCTCTCAAAGCTCTGAGGTAAACTTCCTGTAGCAGTATGCCCATTAATACATACTTTGAAAAAGTAACTGATAATACAGTTGGAATTGCAGCCAGCGTTGTTTTATGGCTGTGTACTGTAGTCCCCAGGAAGCCTTTTCTCCTGCCCCTGCTCACATTAAAATCACAGGTACATTAATATGAAGTCCAGAGATAACTAGGGATTTTGAACAGAGCAGTATGGGTTATCCGTTAGTAAGCGGACATTCATAGAATACTGCTTTCTAAAAAACAAAAGAAAATAACATGTGTTATTACAGCTTACTGGTTAAAATGGAGTCTGGAGCCAGGTTGTCTTGACAGCTGTGGCTGATCATGGCCTGATGAGCTTCCTTGTAATCTTGTAGCATTGTTACAAGAATTAATGAGATACTGTCAGCCTGCACTGTAGAAAGTGCCTGTATTCAACAGGATGGGCTTGAAGACTTCCATGTGCTTCACTCTGACACAGATAAAATGCTTTCAAAGCTGCCTTGCCGGCTAGAGAGATAACTCAGAGATTAAGAGCACTGGCTGTTCTTCCAGAGGTCCTGAGTTCAATTCCCAGCAACCACATGGTGGCTCACAGCCATCTGTAATGAGATCTGGTGCCCTCTTCTGGCCTGCAGACAGAACACTCAGATAAGAAAAAGAAAGAAAGAAAGAAAACAACCTGCCTGACGTAATAAGTGTTCATTGTTTGAGTGTTCTCGCGTTGTTCTCAGTACTGTAAAGCTGGAGGCTGTTCACACCAGTAATCCCAGCACTGGGAAGGCTAGGGCAGGAGGGTCCTTAGTTGAAGGCCAGTGTGGACTTCACAGTGAGACAGAGTCTAGAACACAGACTATTTATGGAAGGTTCACAGTTGAACCTGGGATTTACTCAGGCAGCGCAAGTGCTGTCACCAAGCTCAGTACCCAGCCTCTCTTTCCCTTCAGACAGGTCCTCGCCAGGTCTCCCTGCAGCTCCTGTAGATCAAGCTGATCTTGAACTCAGAGATAAACTCGCCTGTGCGTCCAGAAGTCTCTGGGGTTCTTTGGTTTGGTTTTGTCTTTTAATTTTTAGATAGTGTCTCACTATGTAGACCAGGCTGGCCTTGGATTTATGATTCTCCTGCCTCAGCCTCTCAAGCAGCTGCGATTATAGAGACCTACCAGACCTGACTTAGAAAAAAAAAAAAAAAACTAAGTTAACATGTCATTTATTCTAAGCTAGCCTTGAACTTGCTGTGTAGCTATAGCTCACCTTGAACTTGCCTTCAGTTCCCAAATAAAAATTTTTAAAGAATGGAATACTCATTCCCTTTGGACATCTACTTTTTAACTAGACTTTCCTTAGTAATTAGGGTATTTTGTGTTGCTTCTGCTTACACACATTGAAAATAAAGCTAGGGCAGGGCTATGTTGGCTCATGCCTTTAATCCTAGTCCTTGGGAGACAAAGGCAGGCGGATCTGTGAGTTTGAGGCCAGCCTGATCTACAGAGAGAGTTCCAGGACAGCCAGAACTCCAGTGTAGAAAAGGCAACAACAACAACAAAAATTAAAGTGCTAGCCAAACTCTTATTATTATTAGCATTATTATGGTACTGCATACCTGTAATCGCAGCATTAAAGAGGCTGAGGCCCGAGACGTACTGAACATTCAAGCTCAGTCTAGGATACATAGTAGTAAGCCAGCCAAGGCTACATAGCAAGACCCTATCTCAGAAAGAGGGAGAAAGAATTACAGTGTTGTAAGTGATATAAAACATGGCTCCTGGGGGCTGGAGAGATGGCTCAGTGGTTAAGAGCATTGCCTGCTCTTCCAAAGGTCCTGAGTTCAAATCCCAGCAACCACATGGTGGCTCACAACCATCTGTAATGAGGTCTGGTGCCCTCTTCTGGCCTGCAGACGAACACACAGAATATTGTATGCATAATAAATAAATAAATATTAAAAAAAACAAAAAAAATGGCTCCTTTTGGACGTTCCTCATGAATACAATGAATCTAACGCTGCTTGCCATGTAAGGCCATAAATATATAACATTTATAAGGTACTTTCCCACAAATGACCTCATTTATTTATCTTATGCAGTAGATAGGACAAGCATGTGTAGGTTTTTTAAAAAATCGAAAAGGTTGTGAGGTTCTGGGTACTACTGAAGTAGTTGTGAAATGTCTAAGATTCTGTGCCCATCAATTTCACAGCCTGTGGGTGGAAAAAAAAACCTTGTAAGCATACATTGTATTACTGTGCTAGCGGGTGATAGGCATGAGTGTCTTAGTTTGGGCAAACTGGGAATGGGATGTGGCTAATCAGACAAACTTCTTAAAGTGACTTGCCTGGAATCAGACGATTTATGTTGAAGATGAGTCTAAACCTAGATCTCCTGGCTTTATTTAAGGACTTTCCTATAAGCAGGATACTTAGACCCATTCAAGCAGTGTCTGCAGTGATAGATTTAAAATCCTTCAGTATTTCATGTAGGCATACACTGAGAGATTCAGAGGAGAAGCTAGTATTTTCTAGATAAAGGTTAAACATGATCTAGCCTGACTTCGGCCTACGGAAGCAGTACTCTATAGAAATGTCCCAGATAAGGAAATATATAGAGCCTTTCCGATTTTTTTTTTAAGTAAAAGTTCACTAGGACTTTGATACCAGTAAAATTCCTTGATGGAAAAATCTGAGCTTGAATATGAACTGTCATTAGTTACTGTAAACTTAAACAAGTCACTTCATTTCCATTTCCAATCTGTACCTGGAAAACAGTCTGTGTTTCGGGCTTGTTGGTAAACTGGATTTCAAGTTCCCTGCCGAGTGAGACAGTTCCATGTGAACACCACAATGGGAGTGGAGGTCATGATTCATTTGTCTTGTTTTGTTTTATCCTAAGTGAGGGGTGTCCACTGTTGGAGCAGTTGAACATTTCCTGGTGTGACCAAGTAACCAAGGATGGCATTCAAGCACTAGTGAGAGGCTGTGGGGGTCTCAAGGCCTTGTTCTTAAAAGGCTGCACACAGGTAATGCTCCGTGGATGGCTTGTGAACATGAGGGTCTATGAACTCTTTGGAGGTGTCTGAGGAAAGGTATCTGCTGCTGACCGTGAAGACACGTCTCAGAACGGAAGAATGGGAAGAACTAATACCTGACAAAGTGTAAATGGGGCAGAAGGGACAAGGTGGAGAGACACTCGTGCAGAGCTGCTTCTCTGTACTAAAGAGAAAGTCTCTTTATTCCTGGTTACTCTGAGCTGCTTAGGCAAAAAAGACAATCTTGTTAATTTATACTTGTAACCAGCAGGAATTGCCCATGATGTGCCAGGTACACAGCAGCTGTGTTTTACCTCCTGCTGTAACCTCACAGTATAATGCTTCTTTTCATTAAATTCTCAAAGCCAGACATGTTGGTACATCCCTTAGCATTTGGGAGGCTGAGACAGGAGGATCCTTGTAAGTTCAAAGTCAGCCTAGGCTACATCATAAGACTCTGTTTCAAAAAAAAAAGAAGTGATAATAAAAACAAATAAGACCCCGTTTCCTGGGTAATGAAAAGAAGAGGAAATAAACTGGTCGGGTAGCGTTAGAAAGAAATGATCGCAGAGTAATGGAATTAGGTGTGCCTGGCATTTATCAGGGATTGCTAATGATATACCATGGATGCCATTAAAGATGCCCTCAGTTTTACCATAATAGGAAGAATTCCTTTGTTTAAAGCAGAATTCGGGATATACAATTGCCTTAAACAGCAGTTTGAGCTTCTGGTTATTTGTGGAATCCTGAAAAATAATGATTGGGCTACATCACTATGACCCAGCGCTGCTCAGCAGCAGAGACTCTGGGAAGTCCTTTCTCAGCTCCTTCTCCCGAAAACTGTTAAAACGACAGCTTAGACTCTGTCTGGGTTGTAAGCACGTGGACATTGCTTTGCCTTTTTAATTTTTCCACAACTTATTATGATTATTTAATTTGCTAGAACTAAAACACATATCCAGACATGATGGCTCAAGCTTGTAGTCCCAGCACTCGGGAGGCAGACACAGGAACAGAGGTCACAGCCGACCTGGTCTGTACAGTAAGTCCAGAGTAGCCAGGACTACATATTTAGACTCTGTCAGAAAAGAGAGAATGAATCCTACCCTTAATCTTTTTCTACATTTGATAGTAATGATAAGAATTTGGTATGAAAAAAATGACTTCTAAAATCCTGGTAACTATTACTACTAGGAATGAGATGTAATCATGTTTTTTTTGGTTTTTTGTTTGTTTGGTTTTTTGTGGTTCATTGTTCCTTTGCAACCTTGATAAGCTATATTGAGAATGTGTTGATCACTGGGTATAGTCTTTTTTCTACTTTGAAACAATGTCAGTAATCTCTTATTTTTTCTTCTTTCCAGCTAGAAGATGAAGCTCTCAAGTACATAGGTGCACACTGCCCTGAGCTGGTGACTTTGAACTTACAAACTTGCTTAGTAAGCATCCCTTCCCATAATGCTTCTGTATTAGTAATTTCTGCTAGTAACATTATCACAACAGTTTCGTCAAAAACAGTGTCTTACAGGCATAGTGATACACACCTATAGTCCCTGCACTGAAACCCCGGCGCTAAGCAGATTGGGGCAAGAGGGTCATGAGTTGGAGGCCAGCATGAGTTGTGTAACAAGGTCTAGACCAGACCAGACTGCATAGTAAAACCATTTCAAAGACAAAACAGGCTTAGTCAGTCATACCTGTGATCCCAGCAGTTGAAAACTTGAAGCAGAATCGCCATGAATTCAAAGCAAGGCTGAGTTACAGTGAGATCCACACAAATGTTTATATATCTTTCCCTTTTTTATAGTTTTTTCTTTCAACATAGTTTGATTACATAGCTCGGGATGATCTTGAGCTTATCCTCCTGCCTCGATCCTTCCAGTGTTAGGGTTTACCGGTGTTTGCTCATAAACCAACTCTGACATTTTCAGCTATACTTGAAGTTTGAGGTCAGCCTGGTCTACAGAGTGAGTTCCAGGACAGCCAGGACTGTTACCCAGAGAAACCATGTCTCAAAAAAGAAAAAATACTGATGTCCTTAACTGTTTTCTAGGTTTTATAACTTTTTAATTAAGCCCTCACCATGACATTCCCCAAGCTGTTCTCAGAACCATTAGTTTAAAAAGAATCTAATTCCTCCCCTTCAAACAGAGCCACGGAGTCAGCAGAAGCTAGGAGACTGTTTCCTCTAGGTTTGGGGTCTCTGGACGCTCAGGCTGCCTATACTTCTAAGTGTTGCTGCTTCCACAGAAGTATTTTTTTTGTAAATATACATTAGTATATTGATTTTTCTCACTTTTGTGTCTGTTTTAGCAAATCACAGATGAAGGTCTCATCACCATATGCAGAGGGTGTCATAAGCTGCAGTCCCTCTGTGCCTCTGGGTGCTCCAATATCACAGACGCCATCCTGAACGCTCTAGGTCAGAACTGCCCTCGTCTTAGGTAAACATTGTTCATTTAGCTCAAAAAAATCAAGGGATGAAGAAGCTGCCTTTATCCATGTTTTTCTTTGGAATTTGAAACTTTAAGGTCACTGCAAGGCTGCTCCCCTTCTAGCTGGCCATCTACTGGCTTTGTAAGTGACATGAATCAAGAATTGATCTTACTGGTCATGTACAAAAAATTAGTACTTTCTTAAAATTCCTTTCTCTGCTTCTTTGGTTTTTCAAGGCAGGGGTTCTCTGTGTAGCCCTGGCTATCCTAGAACTTATTCTGTGGACCAGGCAGGCCTCGAACTCCAGGAGATTGCTTTCTCCACATTTAAAAGCCCGTCCTGAGGCTATTATGTTGTTGTAATCCATGAAAAAAAATTTTTTTAACTTATTTCTGCAGGAGACCCTCTTGTGTTTGTGCTGATCCTCATTTTTATTTTTATTTTTATTTTTATTGAGCTATACTTTTCTCTCCATTCTCCTCCCTTCCTTCCCTTTTCCCTTCTACCCTCCCGTTTTTGTTTTTGTTTTTATTTTTTATTCTCAGACAGGGTCTCTCTAGTATGTAGCTCTGGCTGTTATGTAAAGCAGGCTGGCCTCAGATTCAGAGATCTGCCTGCCTCTACTTCCTGAGTGCTGGGATTAAAGGCGTGCCACCATGCCTAACCATGTTTGTCGTCTTTTAGAACAGCTACATTACTCTGTAGGTCTTCTCTGCTTGGATAGGGGAGTGTCTGGATGCTTACCCAGAACGCTTCTGTTCGGATGCACATAGTGTCAGAACCGTGGTATTCTGGAAGAGCATGCATGGTGCCCAGTGACTTACAGTGATAGTTAGGCATTATTTTAGGTGCTTAACGAATACTGATTCTTAACATATCCTAGAAGAGAAAGCCAGAGTCCAGGAGTGCCAGTAAGTGCATGAGTAAGGATTCCAAGACAGTTCCTCTGGCACCAGAGCCCACAAAGGTACTTTTCTCACACAGTAATAATTACAAAGTTTTAAATCTAAAGACTTTTTTGATGATTGCCTAGTGTGGTTGCTGAAAGTACTTAGGTTTCTTCCTAGGTTATAGTACCTTCAGTCTGAGAGTAGAGGTCTTCTCCATGGCTGAGAAATAACCAAACATCCAGAAGACAGTTTGTGTCGGCCTTCCCATTGTGAGAATTTCCAGCACGACTGTGGCCATGTTCACCTTGCAGCATTCGTTTCCTCTTACCTGATGATGATTTACTGAGCTCTGATTTACCTTTCGGCTTCAGTTCTAAAGATTCTTTATAAAGATGGTGACCTTTGGCGCCATCATATAACCCAGCTGTTACCTGACTTTACACAGAAAAGAGCAACTTTTGATTTCCCAGCCTTGTGGGTATGAGGTCAATGGTCAGCAGTTGGCTGCCATCCTGGCTTTCTTCTGCACACCCAGGGACCTGTGGGAGGAGACAGGCAGCTTTGAACACAGGACTTCATTCCTGGGACAGACCTGTCCTCTCGTCGAATTTTTAAAGCTCTTGGAATCTGCAGAGACCGACATGGAAGCGTAGTTGCGTCAGCAGCAGATGAGCGGAAGCAGAGTTTACCTCCGTTTCCCTTTGTTTTCTAGGAGCAGGCTGCCCTCTGGGTAAGCAGTGTGCCGCAAGGAAGCTTTGAATGCAGTGGTCGTTAGCTACAAACCACATGAAAACAAACAGCAAGACCTGTGTACAGACTTGTTTAGTTATTAAAATCCCTGTGTATTATATGCTGTTGGAATAAAAGATTGCTTTCTTAAATTCTTGCTGTTTTAGTAAAACCAGGTTTCATGAACCAAGACCTAACTTTCCTTTCATGTTGTTCTTTGAATAGAATACTGGAAGTGGCCAGATGTTCCCAGTTAACAGATGTGGGCTTCACTACTCTGGCGAGGGTGAGTATTTCTCTAGGTTCTACCCTATGTCCATAGGTTTTCTTGGGTTTTTTTTTTTTATTTTTGAGGAAGCAGCAAAGAGTAGCATAGGTGTGAGACCAGGGTGCGTTCTCTGCAACTGTCTGAGCCTTTTTGTGCAAGAGCTATAGACCTGATGTCCACAGAAAAGGTGGTCAGCTTTGGAAGTGCAGACGATGGTGAACTGACCCAAGCAGAGGCTTCTGGTATTTCATAAAACTCTGATTTGGTACGTGATTGAGTGAGAATAATGCTCAAGGGGATACAGGCCTGGTGAATAATATACCAGTCACTAGAGATTTTCCTGTATTTCCAGGGGATTTTAATACAGTGGTCTGTATAAATCACTGTAGAAAACAAGCGTCTTTTTTGGTGGTGGTGGTTGTTTTGTTTGTGCCGAGGCAGTGTTTCCCTGAGTGGCTTGCCTATCCTGGAACCCAGGTCTTCTGGGCTCGATAACACTTAAAATTAGATTGACTTCTGTCAGTGTTAAAGAATAAGTGGGGGGCTGGAGAGATGGCTCAGAGGTTAAGAGCACTGACTGCTCTTCCAGAGGTCCTGAGTTCAATTCCCAGCAACGACATAGTAGCTCATAGCCATCTGTAATGAGATCTGGTGCCCTCTTCTGGCCAGCAAACAGACAGACAGAACACTGTACACATAATAAATAAATAAATCTTTTAAAAAAAAGAAAGAATAAGGGGGATGTCATTTTCTTTTAGGCCAATACATGAAGTACTGATGAGGTGAAAGCCAGCATACCTGGCTAAAAGAAAGAATAGAACTTTCTCTCTTAAAAAAAACAAAAAAACAATTTTTATTGAGTTATTTTTTTAGTTATAAAATATCTCTTTGGCCAGGCAGTGGTGGCGCATGCCCTTAATCCCAGCCAGCACTCAGGAGGCAGAGGCAGGCGGATCTCTGTGAGTTTGAGGCCAGCCTGGTCTACAGAGCTTGTTCCAGGACAGCCAGGGATGTTTCACAGAGAAACCCTGTCTCAAAAAAAACAAAAATAACTCCATGAGTTCAAGGCCATCCTGCTCTACAGAGCTAGTGCCAGGACAGGCTCCAAAAGCTACATGGAGAAACCCCGTCTCGAAAAACCAAAAACTAGAAAGTGACACTAGGCTACCAGCAACTCTGAAATAACAAGACTTGAAATGTGTGTTTAGTACATACAGTCTCTTAGCTGTTTGACTTTTGTAGACTGCAATGTTTAAAAATTGGTACTGAATTATCTGTCGCTGTGCTTTATAGAACTGCCATGAGCTTGAAAAGATGGACCTGGAGGAGTGTGTTCAGGTAAGGGTGTGCTTTGACTCAGGGACAGTGGCAGAAGCTGTGTGTACTGCCGAGTGTCTGAAGTCCCTGGCTGAGGACACTGATGTGCTTGGCAGTGTCACTGATTGTCTGGCCCACCAGCAAAGTCACTGACCAGGGCTACATACCAGCTGCCGTTTATCAGTGGATTGGGATCTCCCATCCCTTCAGCTCATGTTTATGCCTCAGTACCCCCTGCATCTTTACCGTGTGAGTTCTCTGAGTCAGTAGTTCTCCCTCAGCCCTCACCAGTTCTCAGGGCCTCTCGACTGTGTGTAATAGACGTACAGGTTGAACGGAGTTTGAAAAGAGGCGAACTTAGGGTTTATTTCCAGTCCTAGGATCACTCTGAAACATTTCCTTCTGTCACAGCCATAAGCTGCCCAGGTTCCAGAAGGGACTCCAATTGTCCTCTGTGGTGGTTTGCCTTAAGGAGGTGTGGGGCCAGATACCCAAAAATTTAAGGGTGCTTTGGCATTAATTTTTAATGGATCATATACTCTGGCTTTTCCATCTTCTGGTCTAAAAAAAGGACATCATTAAAGTCTGGTGGACAGAAGCTCTCAGAGGACAGATTTTGATTTAGTTTAAAATACTTAGGTGGTTAATTAAAATATTGCACAATTTGAAAGAAACTGAACAAAATTTTAAACAAGAAACCTAGAAAAGGTTTATAGAAGCCTGGCAATTTAGGCAAATCTTAGAGAAATATTTTTTTTCAAAAGCTGAGTTAGACCTTAAAGAGAGCAACCCCATAATAGTATCAAATACCTTTGGAATTTGATGTCTATATTGTATGTGTGTATTGCACACACATGTGCGCAGTGAGCCACAGAGGCCAGAAGGGGTGTATTAGGTTCCTGTGAGCTGACTGACTTAAGTGTTGGCATCTAACCTCCCGTCAGTCCTTGGGATAGAGTAGCACTCTTAACCAGTATCTGTAGTTCTTAAAGAATTTTGAATAAAGATGGAGATTAGAAAGCCTGGGTGTTTTTGCGTGTCATCTCAGTGTTTTGTACCGGCTCTTGTAGCTTGAAGCACAAAGCCTAAGGGTGTATCATTTAATGACACCTGAACTACAAGTATGGTTGCATAGAACACAATTCATGAATTGCATCTAAACTGATAGAATTTTACCTATTTGTTTTTTCAGATCACAGACAGCACATTAATCCAGCTTTCTATACACTGTCCGCGACTTCAAGTATTGGTGAGTTTTACTTTCACTGTTTTGTATTTTAAATTTATTTATTCAAAAAATTAGATTTATTTACTTTACTTTATATGTATGGATGTTTTGCCTCCATGCATGTTTATGAACCGTGTGGGTACTAGGAATTGAACTCAGGCTCTCTCTAATCTATTGTTGTGTGCACATGTGTGCCATGATGCACATATGCAGGTCAGAGAACAGCTTTCTGGAGTTAATTCCCTACTACCACCTCTGCGTGGATTCCAGGGATTAGACTCAGGTCACCAGGCTTGGCAAGTTCTTTACCCTCTGAGCCCTCTCACCGTCCCCACCTTAGCATGTTCTGTGTGTTACTGTATCTTAACAGTTACATTGCTAACCATGTGTGATGCTGTGGGCCTGTACCCAGCACTCGGGAGGCTGAGGCAGGAGGAGAACCCAGAGTTTGAGGCCACCCTGGGTTATATAGTAAAGTGCATTTGTAGCACAAAAACCCAGGTTTGACCAATGTCTTCCAGGACAAGCTCCTCTGTGGCTCCTGCTTGGGGTGAGTGACTCTGTAGCAGGTATTTTGGTTGATGACTCTGTATCCAGAACAGAATACAGAGCACTGTATATTGGTGAACAGTGCTATCCAAATTGAGACATGTGTTTTCAGTTTCCCAGAGCTAGAGTTGAAGGGAACTTGATCAGATTATGTGATGCTGTAAGAGTCATTCTTAGCTAGCTGTTAATTTGTGCTGTGACTCAGACAGATATTCAGTATTTGGTTCCCATTTCCTAAAACGTTGAATATGAAAAGCTTTAGCCCTGTCTTACATTACAGATATGAAGTGTTAATTTGGGGAGTGGACTTTTTTTGGTGGGGGAGACACCATGGTCTCACTGTCCTGGAATTTCCTGTGCAGACCAGGCTGACCTTGAACTCACAGAGATCCTTTTGCCTCTGCTGGCATTAAAGGAAGTGTACCACCATACCTAGCTGTCTTATTTTGTGAGGTAATTCATAGTCATTCCATGAATTAATATATTTAGAATTAGACTGGAAACAAAAGTCAGTCATACATGCTGAAAGCAGAGCTGTCAGCTCTGGTGTGCATTCCTGTTTCATCATGAGTGGCTCTAGGTGGCTTTGTAGTCACCAGGATGAACCAGAAGGGTCTGGGTTGGAACTGGACATAAGCCCGTGGCGGGAGGAATGCCAGAAGATGCTTGGTTGCCATCTTTGCTCTCTGGTTGCAGAGTCTCTCTCACTGTGAACTGGTCACAGATGATGGAATTCGTCACCTGGGGAATGGGGCCTGCGCCCATGACCAGCTGGAGGTGATTGAGCTGGACAACTGCCCTCTAATCACCGATGCGTCCCTGGAACACTTGAAGAGCTGTCACAGCCTTGAGCGGATAGAGCTCTATGACTGCCAGCAAATCACACGGGCTGGAATCAAGAGACTCAGGGTAAAGCCGCACTGCTCCTCAGCCCCCATCTCTCCTCTTCTTGTCTCGCCTGTTCTTTTTTTCAGATTTGAGTCTCGTGATTTCTTTGTTTTGTTTAATTTTCTTGAATGTTTAGCAAAGGAAGAAAAACTAACAACCTAAAAAGACTGCATGCCAGAATCTGGTCCCAAAGGAAAGAGAGTATTGGGCACGCCGTGCATCCTGGTAGTCAGAGGGCTGAGAGCAGAATCCTAAGTGCAGAGCCATTAGGACTGCAGAATGAGCTCAGCATCCACATAGGCTGTTTAGTGAGATCCTGTGAGAATGTAGTTTAGGGGCAGAGAGCTTGCCTAACATGTACAGGGAGAGGTGAACATGGAGAAAGAGGGGGAGATAGATATGGACATCTCCACACTTGCCTCAAGATAAACACTGTAGTGACCACAGCTCCTCTCTCAACAGAGAAAAGGGCTCCTAGAATAGCGGAAACGTTGCATCAACAGGGCAGACAGTCACAGGCTAGCTGGAGCAGTGTTTTCTGGTATTTTGAGACAGTATCATGTTAGCACAGACTGACTTAGATTGAATTCAATGTGTAGTAGAAGATGACCTTGAACTCATAATTTTCCTGCCTCCTCTTGCTAAGATTAGAGGTCTGTACCCCCAAGCCTGGCTTAGAGCTCCGCTATGGCATCCTGTGTGTGATGCCTGGACCTGACTATCAGGAGGCTCGCTGTCTCTGGTTCTTCAGGAGACTGATTTGTTCTTCAAGTCATGTAACAATTTTCCCGTTTTCTGAGCTGAGGGGTGTATCTAGAGATGATGCCTTAAGCCTAGTAAGTATTCAGACATAGTAAAGACTAGGAATATGTTTTAATTCAAAAAGTAATCATTTTAAACTTGTCTCGTTTCTTCCAGCTATGGGATTCTAACTATGAATCTCTTTGGGACAAGGTGAAAGCTCAGAATTGTTTTCATTCCCATCTGCCTCCACAGAGCAGATAGAGCCTGCCCTTCAGCCCCTGGCTCCTCTGAGAAACAACATTGCTCCTTCTGTCTAAGCACTTTCTGAGTAATGTTTCTGTCTTGTTTCAGACCCACTTACCCAACATTAAAGTCCACGCCTACTTCGCACCTGTCACTCCACCCCCGTCAGTAGGGGGCAGCAGACAGCGCTTCTGCAGGTGCTGCATCATCCTATGACAGTGGCGGTGGCCAGCCTTGGTGAACTGAGTGTTTAATGACACTGCTAGACTCACCGTGGAGTCTCCAGTGGACGCAATCCCAGCACTCTGGGCAGGGTTCCAAAGCGAGGGCAGCATCCAGATCCCCAGAGCCACACATACACAGGCACACGCCCTCACCCCATCTGCTGCAGTTCTGTGACCGTGGCACCGAAGTTCATACTGGCTGTAACAAGTGGATTGGTGAAACTTAACCATTCCCGTTGGACATGCCCAGAAGAAATCTTAGGCCATGGTAGAGGGAAGGGACATTCCAGCAAAACCCAGTGTTACTGCTACTGTGGTTTATTTTATTAAGGGGTTTCTGTGGGGATTTTGAATCAGTAACTGCAATCTTCCAGGGTGAAAGGTAGCATGGAAAAACAATATATGATGTATCCAGGGACCAGAAAGAATTTATTTGCATCCTAGAAATGGTAGCTATCCATTGGGAGATGCTTATGCAACTTCTGTGCTTCCTTGTTTCCATGCCAACATGCTGAGCATGCTCACAAAGAAGGCTCGTCCATTCATCTGATATTTTAGTATTTGGCCCAGAGGTTTCCTTAGCAGCTATATATTGAAATTGCTGGGGTCCAAATATGATCACTTTTACTTCCCTGCTCAGTTTGTCACTCTGTCACCGTGCACCCTCCCCTCCCCCCGTCTCTGCTCACTGCTGCACTCTGGCTGGCTGTCCCCAGTCGTAGTCTGCTGCTCACACTCAATTGTTACTCCTTTGCTGTTTGTTTACAGTTTGCATTTTGGATGATTAGTTGGGGTTACCAAACATTTTTAAAAGAAACATCAATAAATATTTTTTTAATCTAAATTTTACTATTAGGGGACCTGCCTGAATCTTTGCCAGTCTAGAAGGAAACTCTAACAAGAGCAGGGAAGTTAGGATAAGAAAGAGTTGAACTGTTTTGATGAAAAGAAACTTGGCCTTTTGGTTTCTGTTGTGTCTTTGCTGTGCACTCATTTGCACGGTGTGCTCAGTGTCCCCTGCACATTTCCCTCTTCCAAACTTGGTGAGCTTATTAAGAAAAGAGAAGTGCATTGTTAGTGTGAAGTGGGGGGGCAAATCCGTTTCCACTACCCAGGTACAAGCACAAATGGCCCTTGTTGTCCTGCACTGACGGGAACATGGTGTGACCTCTGCCTGTCGGCAGACTTACTAGAGTTACCTGCTTTGCAGCAGTGCTGGGGGACGGGGATAGAACCCTGTAACAGTCAGCTGCCTGTTTCAGTGTTGGCGGGATTGTCTCTAATGCTGGCACTTCCGAAGACCCAAATGTAGCAGCTAACACTCTCTCTTGTAGACTTCCTCTGAGTGTGGTATGAAGGCAGCCAGATGGGGCCATTGGGGCAGCCAGAGAACCTTGAGAAGGGAGTAAGAGGCTCAGGGTCTATACCGAGCCTAGGACCTGCCCCCTACCCTACCCTCCAGAGCTGAGAAAGGGGTTTAGTATCTGTGCCTCATCAAGAAGAAACCTCTTCACAAAAACTCACACAAAACGAGAGAAATGAAATGAGTTTCTAAAGCTTATTTCTAAACTCCAATGTTAGAGGCCTTGTGTGATGTTTAACAGGGTGTTGGGGGAAAGGCTTTTAGGAGGTAGATGTGCAAACCAGTATGATCCCAGGATGTTCAAAAGGCTGGTTTACTGCTATAGGTACTGGTTCTACCAGACTATATAAGAATAAAATCTGATTAATTTCTCCATTAATGTAGAAAACAATCAGATGAAAAGGTCCTAGAATTCTATACTACCAGATTTATTTATCATATTAAACTTATTTAAAATCTTATTTTATTATGTTCTTTTGAAAACTAAATTACTTGTGTTTTTTTTTTTATTCCTTCTCCCCCTCATGTTCAAATTATCTTGCAAGAAATTTCTTTTTTTCCTCTGAGACCATTTGTTACGTTGCCAAGCTGACCTGGGCTCCAGTTCCCTTCCCCCTCGGCCAGCATCCTGTGTGAATGGCGCTGCGGAGGCTCTTATATCCGTGTACATCCCACCCCCAGAGACGAAGTCTTACTCTGTAGCCCTGGCTGACCTGGAATTTGTGATTGTCTTTCTGCCTCAGCCTCCCAAATGCTAAGATGATAGGTGTGAGTCACCATGTCAGATTCACTATACTTTTAAAGTTAGACTCAGTGCGCACACATAGACATACACACGCTTCCAAGTGTATTCAGGGTTAGATCCCTAGGTCTCTCACGCAAAACCAAATGAAATTGAGGGGACATCAGCTCTAAACTATGTTGTTTGATTTTTTTCCCCCCAAAGTGCCTAACAAGTTGATATTAAACCCTGAGTACTAATGGTTTAGTAGACATACTAATCGCCCAAGTCTAAGCCACTCAGGTACTTCCTTTTTTCCATCAAAGTTTAAATGAGTCTGTTACCCACCAGTATGTCGAAGGTCTGGAAAATGCTGTTTTTCCTAGAGTGTGTTGCCACATGCAGGTTCATTGGATTTGTCTTGGTGATCTCTGCTGTTGAGACAAATCCCAACCTTTCTGGACAAAGAACACAAGTCAAAAGTGGGAGGTCTATGGCTGTACAGCCCTGGCTGCATACAGTCAGGCAGGAGACATGTTCCTTTCTCAAGTCACATCAGACCCATCATGCTTGAAGGAAAATAGATTTTTTTCAAGTGTTGATTTGAATCCTACACCAGCTTGTTACACTAAGACTCAATGGTAAGTTCAATCAGGTAGAAAGCCCTGACACATGAATACATATGCTTCCTTTCATACGTGCAGAATACTTCTAAGAATTCAGTAGGTTTTGGGCTTGGTTGATTGGGTTTGGGGTTGTTTTCAGGGCCATGGTTGGAAGCAAGGGCCCTTGCCCACAGTGAGTATGTTATCTCACTGAGCTGTAGTTCCAGCCCTAGTAAAGCTTACCATGAAAATACCCCTCTCTCTGGAAAAGCCTACAGCAGGCTGCCAAGGGGACTTGGGAGGGAGATGATCTTACTGCTGCCAGCGATCACTGCTGCACGTACTGCTCGGCAGCCCTACTGAGGTAGTTAGCCATTTCTTCCTGCACCACCCTGACCCTCTGTTTATACCTCTTTCTTGTGGGATATGTCCAGTCTAGCTGATCTTGGGGTCCTCTCCTGGTCAGAGCAAGCTGTCAAGGACAGCTGTGAGTCCAGAAGCCGTCAGGTGGAAGTGGCTCAGGCCATTTCTTACTTGATCCTTGATGTTTGGTTTTTGACTTTGAGTTAAATTTGAGGTCAAACTGGTGGTTCTAAAAGACTCAAGGGCCCTAGCTTCTGTCTTCCCCAGTCTTTGGTATATGAAAGCACACTGCTTAATATTTTTAAAATGTATTTTATTTTTCCTACTCTGACCTTTACACCTTCTCTAGATGTAAAAGTATCCCTGGTCAGATTTCTACGAGGTTGATTTAGCACATGTAAGTCAGAAATGACATTTTAAGCATTTCTAAGGGAAACTTGGTGAATAACTTACCATGTTCTTTTGGGGGCATTCTGTGCTGTTTGGAATGTTTGTTGTAACTCATTCGTCATGAATGAGTGCTGTGGGCACTGAAGCCCAGTCTGGACTGTTGGGAGCTGTGAAACCCTGACGTCCATTTGATTTTGTTCATTTGTCTTGTAAAATGTGTTTGGAACATTTCTTGACCTGACATGGCTAGGAAGTGTGAGAGCTGCCACTGCAAAGAGGAGAGTGACTTCCTGTCTGTCGTGTGGGCAGCCTTGTCAGTGGCAGCTTTGAAGCATGATTGCTCTTGACTGTTGAGATGGCTTAGCGGGTATGCGTGTTTGCTGGACACACCTGGCCCCCGAGCTGTGACAGTGAAGGGGAGGCTGGCCACTGGGATACAGGGTTTCTCTTTGTAGCTGTCCTGAGACTTGCTCTGTAGATCAGACTGACCTTGAGCTGATAGACACCCGCCTGCCTCTTCCTCCAGAGTGCTGGGACTAAAGGCGCGTTCGCCACCACTGCCTGACAATAAATAAAATTCTCAAAAAAGAAAAAAAAACAAGGCTCTGTAAGTCAGGCAGCTCATCTGGTTGGCATCAAGTGAGAGGGCAGAAGAGGAAAGAGCCCTGTGGTACCTTTTCTGCCTTGTACAGGTGGGTTTCCGTCCTGTGGGTCCTGCTGACAGGCCAGGGATGAGCCCAGCCTTGTCTGAGAAGAGCTAGATGTTTGGTTGGAGGTCTTAAAGCAGAAACCCTTAAATGACCTGAGGACAAAAAATTCTAAATCAGAAGGATGAGGGGGAGTAAGAATCTCACTTCCTCACCTTTATTTTTATCTTAAATTTGCATTGGAAGATGCAGAAAGCTGAGTATCAATAGGGTGTGATTAGCCCTGCTGGTTTGAGAATAAAATTTGGCTGTAAGTGTTGTATCCACATGTCCCAACCACATCTTCATTCTCCGGCAGAGAATAGATGTTGTTTCAGCACCAGCTGCTGCAATTCTACCTTCTTATTTTCACCTGCCAGGAACTACACAAGAGGCAGGCGAGTTTTTTATATGAAGGTCTTCTGCAGCTTCCCACTCAAGCCAAGTCGACCCATGTTGTCCGTTTCAGTTTCTGCATCTCTGGAGGCTGTGATCTGTAGGCATTTAGGAAAGTCAGTATTAGCCTCTCACTTGAGTCTGAGCGAATCTTGGAAATTCAAGAAAGTTGCATGTAATATGCAGGAGGAAAAGCTTTTGTTATGCAGCTCATGTGCGGGATGTTGGAGAGCATCCTTTTGCGGTTCTCTATCTCTGTCCCGTGAGCCTTTGGTCTAAGAGTTGAAACTAGGAGTTTGTGGATGAGTGTCAGCCCTTCTCAGCCAGCATGGCACATGGAACAGAAACCTAGTGGGTGACCTTCTCTGTTGTGTATTTTTATTTTGAAGAGTTGGCATGCAGAAATGGCAGGCAGGGCTCACGGGAGAGGATTAGTCTAGAGCTGAGATGTGCTGCCTCAGGAAGAGCATCTGTCCTGAGCTCTAGGACCGCTGCTTCCTGCCTGACACATTCACTGTGTGTTGTCTTCATCTCATCTCTCCTTGCCCCTTGGTGGCAAGAAGGGCTTTCCTGCTGCTCTGGGCACGAGTGTGGGGTAGTGAATACAGTCTTCACCCCAGGAGACCGGAACAGGAGTGTCTCCTGCCCAACCCCCAGAACCAGATCTAAGATCTCCGCTCCACTAACTACTCGTGTTAGCTTGGATCTGCCCTGAGTCGCTGCTTTTGTGTTTCCTCCCTTACCCTAATATTTCTCAGCCCCTCAAACATCCATCCACTGATTTTCATGTCACTAAAGGACATTTGAGGACCTCTAAAGTCTTAGAAAATCTACTTGAAAACGACTTGTCTGTGGTTAGCTTACTGCTGTCCTGAGAGACACATGATACCCCCAGTACTGGACCCGTGCTGTGCTCTCTGGGTTTCCATAGAAGGCGTGTCTCCTGTACACAGAGGATCATTTCTTACCTAGTTCTGATGACTGTTAATCTCTAACGAATACAGGAAGGGGTGAGCCTGATAACTTTGACCTCTCCCAACCCCTTACCACACCCCTACATGATGCACTTCTAGATCCTATTGGCCTGTGTTCTATAAGCTTTAGGCCAGCTCTTCCTCCCTGTGATGTGACCCCCAAGAATCAGTGATCACCACTTCAAAGGGTGTCTGGAAGAGGCTACAACTTGCCTTTCTCCTCAGTTCCTATTTTCTCCACTCTGGCTGCTTCCTGTTTCCTCCCAGGCATTATTTCCAGTTACTATTTCCTGATGGATCTGCTCACCTTACCTCCCTTCCAGTGAGCCTGAGAGCACAGACCTGAGTGTGTGGCCTGTGCAGAGCTCAGAGCACTGTGAGGACTGCCCCTTCCTGTCTGACTGCTCAGGGCCAGAGATGATGAGTACCTGGTGCTGTCTGAGGAGCTCCTCGCTCCTGCACCCCTTCTTCCGCCGACTCCCTGTGCCCCAGCTGCTGGGCCTGACCTGGACATCCATCGTTGTATGGGAGCTGCTGCTTGCTTGTTTCTCACCAGGCCTGCGCCAACACTCAGCCACTCCCCAGGCCCCGCACAGTTCCCCAGCGGGGACTTACCAGGTTCCATTAGCTAAGTGACTGTGTGTACAATACTTCCAGCACCCAAGGATGTGGGGGTGGGGAAGATTGTTTTAAATAAAGAAAATCTAAGGAGGCAGTAGACGGTTCTTTTTGCTTTAAAATCTTTGGACTAAAGAAATGTTTTTATATATATATAAATATATAAAGTAAATCGTTATGTAACTATTATTGTTTCCTGTATGTTCTAATTTTGTTTTATGATGTAATTAAAGGAAATAAGCTGTGAAGACTTTTCCTGTTCCTGTGGGAGCAGCATGACTCTGAGCTGTGATTCCTAATGTGGTCCCTAGAACCGCAGAGGCTCTTGGGGCTGAATGAAGGAACTTTTGGGGCGGCATCCTTGCTTTTTAAATACTCCTTACTATCTTCATTTAAATCTCATTAGTTCACGTCATAGGTTTAGTCAGTATTCTCCTAGTAACTTTATTTCCTGCCCCAACTCCACAAGACTTTAAGAAACGTGAAGAACATGTTATAAATAAGAGCTGCCTTAACTGGGTTCAGCTCAGCAGTCTGGAGCACTGGCCGCCCTTGCAGAGGACCAGGGATCAGTTCATAGCACAAGCGTGGCAGCTCACAACTGCCTGGAACTCCAGTTCCAGGGGAGGCACCATGTGCATGTCTCATTCTGGACGGTTGTGAGCCTGATGTGGGTCCTCTGCAAAAGCAACAAGTGCTCCTAACCTCTGAACCAGCTCTCCAACTCCACCCTCCCACCCTACCCCCTTTTTGACACAGTCTCTCCTTGACTGGCCTGACACTTAATATGCAGACCAAGACCAAACTGGTTTCAAACTCAAAAGATCTGACCAACTTGCTTCCTGAGTTTCAGGATTCAAGGCATATGCCACCATGCCTAGCCTTAAATCTCTAACTGGAACCTGAAGTCTCAGAATGTAAATCAGTGGCAAGGTGCTTATGTGTGCCCAGGTTCCATCCCCAGCACTGCCCCTTGACCTGAACCCCTGATTTCTGGGCAGGACTTGCCACTCCCTTGTCAAGGAAGGGGTGGGTTCAGGTGGAGTGAGTGCAGAGAGATACATGCAAGTGCAGAAGTCAGAATGCCTGGGTTCAGACCTATAGCCTAAACCACCCGTGTAGACTGCAGGCAGCTCCTGTCTCCACTAGCAATGTCTAATACAGATCTTGTAGCTAACACTACTGTGTCGACTGCCTTTGTTGGCCTCCCTTGAACAAGTATTCCAGTATCCAGCCTATATTACAGGTCTCAAGGATACACCAAGGTAAATATAACAGGTCCTGTGTCTCTGGTAAAGATGAGTGAGAGTCAGGTCTGCTTCTGGCTTTGCCCAATGATGCATCCCTCTAATGCAACACTTACAAGATGGAGGCGGTTTAGATGCCAAGGTCAGCATGAGCTGTATAGTGAGACCCTGTCTTTAAAAAACAAGGGTGCTGGGAGCTGGCGAGATGAGTCCATGGTTAAAAACACTTGCTGCTCTTGTGGAGGACCTGGGTTTGGTTCCCGGCGGCACCCACAACAAGCGACTCACAATTACCTGTAGCTTCAGCTACAACCTTCTTGAGCAGCCCAGATGCCCCCTCATGGCCTCTGCTGATAGTAGATATGTAATGTATAAACATACATGTAAGAACTCGCACACAGAAGGCAAAAATTTAAAAAAAAAAATGGGCTGGGGAGATGGCTCAGAGTTTAAGAGTACTGGGTGCTCTTCTAGAGGTCCTGAGTTCAATTCCCAGCAACCACATGGTGGCTCAAAACCATAATGAGATCTGGTGTCCTCTTATGCATATAGGTAGAACACTGTATACATAATAAATCTTCCTTTTGAAAAAGGTTTCCGTGGAGACAGGAGGATCAGGTCATCCTTGGCTGTATGACAAATTTGAGGTGAGCCTGGTCTACAGGACGCCCTCTTTCAGACCAAAATAAAAACAAAGGCCTGAGGAAGCTCTTGCCCAACGTAAGAAAGACTCTTGGGTCAATAAACTATTTTTTTAAAGTTATCAGCCTGGCATCATGGCTCGTATCCTTAACCCCAGCAGAGGCAGGGGCGGGTGGATCTCTAATTCAAGATCAGCTAGGATTACACAGAGAAACCCTGTCTGGGGGTTGGGGGAGGGAGTTATCTACAGTACTATGAAAAAACCCTTGGGGTCAGTGAAATCATGAATCCCACTTGACATCCTACACACACACACACATACAGAGAGACTGTTAAGACGGTTTCCTGTCACGCATCCCAGGCAAGTCGCAATCCTTGTGACTCAGCCTGCTGACTGGCAGAATTACAGGTGTGTAACATCTATTCTTTATGCTGTATAAATCACAGATGAGGTCTGAATTAGTCATCTGTGGGCCTTAGAGTCCCTGTGAGGGATGCATGCAGAGGTGGCTGCCTGGCTGTTAACCCTTACTTACCTTTCTGAAGAAGACACTGCCTGAGTCTTTAGATCAGCAAGATTCCCTTCCCCTCTGTCAGTCCAGTCAGTTTAAATGGTCTTTCAACTCACTTGCCCTCGCCAGAACCCATCAGGTTTAAGATTCATCAAGGGAGTGAAAATGAGCAAAGAAAATGTCATGATGAAACCTTTTATTCTGAGCCCTAAAAAAAATGTTTTGGAAGATAGCTGGTGAGATTTCTGAGGCAGTAAAGCTGCCTGCTGACAGCCCTGCCAATCTTGAGTTTCATGGTGGAAGGAGAGAACCAACTCCTATGAGTCGGTTCTGACCTCCACATATGCATGTGTGCACCCAACCCACTAAATGTAATTTAAAATTTTAATTGAAAAAAAAAATGCCCGAGCTCACTGGTTAGGCATCTCCAAGGCTGCGCTCAAGTCTTCAGAACCACAAAGAGAAAGACACATTGGAAACTATACTAAATTAATGGCCTTAATGTGGGAAATATTATTTAAGCCTTTAAAAAAGTGTCATTAAAAGCAGGTGCAGACAGTGTGACTGTTGTTGCATGTGCAAAGTCCTGGTTTACTCCCGAGAAAACAAAACAAAACAAAAAAACTGGTTCTCAGTGCTGGAGAACGCTACGTTAGTCCTCGTATCTCAAGTTCCGTCGATGCAAGAGGTCTGAATGTTGAGTTTCAGAGGCTATAGTCCTTGGATTTTGCCCAAATCAACTGAGTAGAGGGGTGGGAATCCAGCCAGATTATTTTTTTAAATTTTTATTTTATGTGCATTGGTGTGCATGTACATCTGTGTGATTACGGACAGTTGTGAGCTGCAATGTGGGTGCTGGTCCTAGAGGACTCGGGTTCCCTAGGAAACAGCCAGCAGTTCTCTTAACTGCTTAGCCGCCTCTTCAGACCCAGTCAGATCAATTTACTTTGCCCTGGGTCACATCCCATTCCCTGAAGAGTTTAAAGAGCATTTCTACTTAGAAATTCTAAAGTGGGGCTGGTGAGGTGGCTCAGAGGTTATGAGCACTGTCTGCTTTTCCAGAGGTCCTGGGCTCAATTCCCAGCAACCACATGGTGGCTCACAACCATCTTTAATGAGATCTGGTGCCCTCTTCTGGCAGACAGGAATGCATGCAGGTAGAACATTGCATACATAATAAATATATAAATAAAAAGAAGAAAGAAACTAAAACCAATGAAACCAAACATCATGTCCTTTAAAAGTTACCTTTTTGGATTGGAGAGATGGCTCAGTGATCAAGAGCACTTGCTGTTCTTTTGGAAAACGCAGGTTCAGTTCCTAGCACCCACACGGTGGCCCACAACTGTCTGTAACTGACTCCATGGCATCCGACACCTGGTCTCCATTGGCACAGGCATGTATGTGAACCACAGACATTTTTTTAAAAAAAAATTTCAATCTACATTTTATGGGTTTATTTTTTTTTTTTAAGACAGTTTTCACTACATGGCTCCAGCTGTCCTGGAACTCACTATGTAGACCAGGCTGGCCTGTAATTCGGAGATTCTCCTCCCTCTAGTAACTGGAATTAAAGGCAGGCACCACCACACCCAGCTAAAAAGTTAATTTTCAATTCTAAACCTTTTACAAGGAAGGAGTAAGTAAAATATTTTGTTGGTACAGCATTGAGCAACCAACACTGCTCATGGCAAGCGCTGGCTGTATTGCCGGGGGTTTCTTGCCTCCTCAGCTTGGACAACTCAGGGGGAGTGGCAAGGGACGCTGTGTCCAGCCTCCAGCACAGGAAGCAAAGGGACACTAGAGGCTTTGTTTCTTCTGCAGGATTAAAGCACAGAAAGCGCTGACCCCTTACCCAGTACCTAGGGGTCAGCTGGACATTTTCACACGGCTTCTGGGCACATAGAGCCAGGTTGGCAGCAATCCTGGGCTTAGGTCAGAATCCAGTACTGGTCACCTGAATTGGGCGCTAAAAGTAGCACTCCACCGTCCATGCTACCCATCTTAGAGACTGATACCTTCCACAGCCAGATATTCCTACAGACTCATGGCAGAGCAACATCATCCTGACCTTCCTCATCTGTGCCATGCTGACCTAGCAGGAGGGATCTTCACAGCCAGGTTGGTGAGATCCTTCCAGCCACACTGCTGGCAACAAGTGTTGGAGTGGGGCTGGAGGGACCTGGCCTCACCTTTCCCTGTGTCAGCTGAGAGGCAGAGGGTGTACTAAAGAGCTGTCACCCTCTCTAGGCAGATGTCGCCCTCTCTCGGCAGAGATGTCACCCTCTCTAGGCAGATGTCGCCCTCTGTAGGCAGATGTCACCCTCTCTAGGCAGATGTCGCCCTCTCTCGGCAGAGATGTCACCCTCTCTAGGCAGATGTCACCCTCTCTAGGCAGATGACACCCTCTCTAGGCAGATGACACCCTC